ATCACCGGGGCAAACTCAGTAAAAACAACACACCTAATACGTGCTGATACAGACTAATACCGACAATATACTAACTTCAGTCTTTGCACATTGAAGAACGACTTTTAAGGTAAATCGTTGATGATTCAAAATTTGTACGTAAACCAATTAAGAAATGTCTTGTTTATCTGATTATGATCTTATGATCTTAACGTGCTTGATGTTATTTATTACATAAATCACCAAGACCATTTGCTTTTTTTTCAGAGGTCAAACAACTTTCTATCATAATCAAATATATTCTCTCTCTCTCTCTCTCTCTCTCTCTCTCTCTCTCTCTCTCTCTCTCTCTCTCTCTCTCGTTACATAAGCAATGTTCCTATTTTCACATACGCACACAATGAAAATTCTCCTACTGCTAGTTTGTTTCTTTTAAAACGTAAGGGTGGTATTGATGATAATGTTGTGATATAAACCTACCACATGCAGAAGGCATAATCTTTACGTTCAGGACTTCGATACCCCTAAAACACCAAACGCCTTTGAAAACCAAAAATTAACTTGAGCTTCTACGGTTTCAGATTTGAGGAAGTTTCATATATATATATATATATATATATATATATATATATATATATATATATATATATATATATATATAGGTTACGGCATTTGAATGGGAAAACGAGTTTTTCGGATGGCTATACTGCACGACCTTTGAAGTGCAGTGTATCCAACCGAAAAAAGCGAGTTCATATTTTTCCATTCAAATGCAGTAACCTTTTTATTATATGCTCATTCTTGTTTCATTACCAAAGATTTAATAATAAAATTCACAACCAATTATATTTAATAACAAAATTTATTATTTTATTATTAAAATAATAAAGTTCAGAATCGTAGATTGCTTCAATGCACAGATAATATCATTCATGCGCATATAGATCCTCACACCGACTGTTAAACGGCATAGCGTACCACGCACTCACGTGCATCAAGAGCGTGGAGTGAAATATGAAGGTGTTAAGCACATTTTTGCTCATTTTTATTAACAGCTAAAGAAGACAGTTTATGTGAATAACTTACGTTTAATTGTGATGACCCTGTATAGCGTTTATATCTGGCTAAATCTGAGACATTTGTGTCACAAAAGTAATAGCGGAATGTGCCAAAGCAGTTTGTATGTGTCGGTCTATGAAACAATTGCTGGCATGTGGCCGACCTTGAAATATCTGCCTTAATTCATACAAAAAAATTGCTTACGTTAGAAAATATTTCCTTTGCACGTGGGTGCAATATCAAGGCGTTGAATATCGTGGAATATTGCACGATTCTGGCAATGTAAATATGTAAATTTAACAGTGAAAAAAGATTAGCATATATATATATATATATATATATATATATATATATATATATATATATATATATATATATATATATATATATATATATATATACACATATATATACAGAATACAAATCATATGGCGAATACCAACCCTTTCAAGCGTACTGGATCCACCAAGGGATAACGTATGTCAGGGATTAATTAAAATAGATGCAATAACCTGATGACGAACAGTACGAAACTAATAACTAACTAGCCTAAGCGCTTTCGACTCTTAATGAGTCTTTTTCAAAGGCAAATACAAAACATATATACGACAAACAAATAAACACAAAAACGTCGTGTTTGTAAACCTCTACATGGCTGTCTTCACATGTGCAAAAACTATAAATACAACCAGCTTGTATAGACTAGTTGCGGAAACTGAAAACGGTGTATAATTCCCTAAAAGTCTACAAGCCAAAGCGACATCTATTTTTACTTTTTGTACATATGTAACGCAGATTATATCCCGGATATTTGATTCTATACCGGTTTTCTTATAGTAAAAACTGAAGGATAATAAGAAGATTTAGAAAAAGTTAAATTCTACTAGTGCATAATTTTCATTTTCTAGTCTTTTTGGTTTAGACCGCTGGGTTTCAATGTTCTAAGGCGGCATATCCAGTATGATTCCTTTTCCTTCCTGGTTTCGGAACTCCAGCTGTGGTTGTTAGCAATAGCGATAAGTATAATATCACTGAAAGTGTGGCCAGGGGAGGAGAAGTGTTCTGCGACCGGGCTTCTGTACATCTTTTTTGTTATCCAATCAGATCTATGAAGGTTTATCCTTTTGTGTAGCTTTTCAGTTTCTCCGACGTACTGAAGGCCACAGATCTTACATGTGATGAGATAAATCACATTCTCTGTTTTGCAGGTTTTGTTTGGACCATGTATGTTTAGTTTTTCTTTAGTCACTGTGCTAGTGAATGTCTTGGTCTCTATTATATGTTGACAGGTTTTGCATCTTTTATCGCCACAGGGTCCAGATTGACTAGGTTGGTTTTTACTAGCGATTGGCGTTAGCTTTGCCCTGACTAGGATGTCCTTTAGGTTTTTTGGTCTCCGGTAAGCTACTACAGGTTTGTTCGGAAGTATTAGGTTTAGTATGTCTGACGATTGCACGGTTGG